ATCTTTAATTAGTATAATTATTGGATAAAAGAAATTTAAAAGTCACAAATAAAAATTTATTTATAAATAAATAAAATAAATGTGTATTTATTTTGTTATATTATCCTACTATAAATACAAAAGTATTAATTAATTCATAATTTTTCATTACAGAGATATAAATTAATAAATAAANTAATTAATTCATAATTTTTCATTACGGAGATATAAATTAATAAATAACCAAGTATTTTCTTGTATTTTTGAATTAGTAAAATTTTTTCAAATACAATTAAATGATTTATAATTACAAACTTGAAATGGTATTTCATCAAATTGAAAGTAAAACAATAGAATTTTTCAATAAAATATTTTAATACATGTAATATGAAAAGTGGACAATTTAATTACTCATTCAAGATTTAACTTAATCGATAATACAAAACAGAATATTAGAAAATTATTAAATAAAGACAATTATTAGTTTTTCATAAAATAATACCAGTTCTGTTTTTAGAGAATTATCAAATTTCTTTAAATATTGATGATTCAGTTTTGTTGTATACATTTTTTTATTTCTTTAAATAACTCTATAGAAATAATGGATGTTAAAATCAATAACATCCATAATAAATATGAAAAAAAATTCTATGATTTTAAATTGAATTGAAGTAAACTTTAGAATAGTAAATTCCAACTCCTAACATGTAAAATAAATTATTTAAATAAAGTGATTGGAGGTTGAACATTTATAAATGTAAATGAAAACTAAAATTGAATTGTAGAATAATTATAATTAAAAAGATATGTTGAAAACTTTATTATGGAGTAGAACTATGAACATTGAATTATCAGTTAAAATTCCAAAATTAGTAATAAAAAATTTATTACAAGTGTTATAGAAGAAAAATTAATACATAAAAAAAAAAGTTGAATAGAATTTTTTTTATTACTAAAAAAATTAAGCTGATCCATTTACTTATCTTAACAATATTTAATATTTAATATTAATATGGTAATCATTATTTTTTTATACCTTGCATATTTTAGGTAAGTTTGTACATTATTATCATTGATAAATAAAATATTTTTAGTTCATTCTTCTTAATTTGTAT